GTGGAGAAGAGAGAGAGAGAGAGAGGAGAAGAGAGAGAGAGAGAGAGAGAGAGAGAGAGAGAGAGAGAGAGAGAGAGAGAGGGAGAGGGGGAAGAGGGACGAAGAGCCGTATAGCGGAAGGGAAGTCAGGGAAGGGCTCATGTGGGTGCGAGAGCGTGCTAAGCCGCGGCGAAACAATAAATTTCGCGGGCATTCACGTCGATCGCTGAGAGGATGAGCCGACGTCGACGATCGACGGCCTTTGTTGGCCGACCGTAAGCCACCCTCTCCTCCCTTCACCTCGATACAACACCCTACTGCGCGTCGTTTCCTCCTCGTCTCCCCGTCTCTGTTGTCCCCATCTCTCGCGCGATGTACCATCCAGACGTCGACGGATCTGATACAATGAGACAGCGCTCGCGGACGCGTTTCGGGCTGTTTCCGCGGCGGAAACTTGTTTCGGAAACGGGGACTTTAACACCGACGTGCCAGGTTACCAGTCACAGCCTCTCTCGGGAACGAGCTATCCAACGCCATCATTCGATCCCCGGTGCTCGAATTACGACAGAAGCGTGTTACGCGATACCATCGTATATGATGCTTGATGGTGAAGAGGAGGTGCAGGCGGGATGTGAGGGATATACGCGTAAAAGAGGGCAGGCGTCGAGAGGAAAGCTTTACCGTCGTCGCGCCCAGTATTACGGGTATGGTTGGGATTTTAGAAGGGTATTTGGAAAAATGAGACAACGCGCCCCGAGACCGGTTGGATCGTCTTCATGAATTGTACATCAGTCGGGAAAAACCGAGCGCCGAGCGATTCCGCGCGGAAATTCGGTCCCGGCGGTCGCTTCGTTATTCCGGAGCCGATTTTGTAATGGAGAAGTCATGTTATTCGATACTTATCAATAATGGAGGACGCGCGCGATATGGTGGCGAAAATTTCAAACGCTAGTTGTCCACGTAGCCGTATAAAGCTTAGCTTGAAAACGTGAGCGGCTGCCGCATAAAAATTCGCGGTTAGAAATTCGCCGGTTCTAGAAATAACGGACTTTTGCCGGGCTCTACGGACCACCGACGTTACCCTTCGGCGGCCTCCGTTTATTTAATTTGCAGGAAAAATGGCCGCAATCCGCTTGCCTGACCGTGTAGCGTCGGGTCGGCGGGGAGGAGGAAGGGGAAACGTAGGTATTTTACAATAAATATCCGGCCGATAAGCTGCACACAATCCCGGCGCACCGGAGAGGGATGAGGAGGGCAAGCGCATTTTTATTTTTGTAGGCATGCGGAATTTATGGTTGACGAATGGTCGTTCGAGTTTTTGCCTGGAAATAGCTCGTTAATCTTTCGAATTATCCTCCCTTCCAACTTCGTTGCCGCCACCGCTCTGCTCGCGGCATCCACGACTCAACGACTTTCCGTTGTTCAACGGCGGAAATATCGAGGTTCTGTATTTTCCTTGAATGACATTATAAATAAACATTCACAAAAAACGTTCATAAAATTTTTCAAATCTAAAATCTGCAGTATACATTTTTGGAAATGGAAACTTTACGACCGAAAAGCTGAAAATAATTCAACTCTGAAAAATTATATTTTTAAGATTTTATATTTGAATTACGTAATAATTTATAACCATCATTTAGTAAAGTAATAATTTTGTAAAATGAAACTTTAGTTATGTATAATCGGATATAAAATGTAAAAACATCCCAAGCGAGCGTTTATATAAAAAAATCAAGTAACTGTTTTCAGGTTAAAGCATTAGCTTTAACATGGGAATATACTCATATGATTTTTTTACGTAAAGAATTATCTGAAATGTTTTTGCACTCTAATTAAAATCACTATTATTAACAACATATTGTATACTATTAATTGTTTTTCGATTTATTAGTATTTGAAAACATTATGGATATGGATTTCAATCATAATTTTTTGAAAAATTAAATATAAATCAAACAAATATTAAATAATGGAATAAGCACGTTAAATAACTGATTATGATAGTAAGTTCTAAAAAAATAAAAATATATAAATAGAAATAAATAAATTATTACTGTAAGGTAAAATTGTCATAGGTAAAATTGTTAATCATTAAAGTTAAAATTACTAAAATTTTTTTGTGTTTTTTTTATGGAATTCCATATTTAAAGGTTCGTAAAGAATAGTTATTAAAACGGAAAAAAAATTAAACAATATCTCCACACATGAAACAATATTTTTCAATAATTCATATATTTTTGTCGTTGGCGTGTAAAAATACCTCAGATGATTATTGCCGAGTTAAAGTAATTTTATATTTTATGTTGCAAAGCATACGCTTCAATAAATCAATTTGCAAACTGTGCGTGTATATCTTTTAAAAATTTAAATACTTTTCAATGGTTACAATAAAGATTTGTGCCGAAACATATCGTCGGACTAGCGTATATTGATCTGGTTCACATTCGGTGGAACAAACGGTAGACGGGGGGGAATGATTTTATCAACGTCGAATCAAATGCATTCGCTCGCATTGACGCACGTCCACTAAATCAAATAATCCGTGTCTACATATATCATGTGCGTCGGACTTAAACCTGCACGGATACGAATCAACTACACTGCAGTCTTTTGCAATAATTTTGAAAATATGCTGCTGAAATATTACGGTGTTATCGAAATATTCATCATTAAAAAATAAAATGAATGCATAGTCAGTTTGTGAGATTAATTGCTGATCGTATATACATTGAACTAATTTATTTATGCTTCGTTACTAGAAAATAAGTTGCGATAATACCTCAATTAACTAGCAAATAAGAAGATAAATAATTTAGCAAGATTTAATACAATACACTGAAAAAAAATCGATATATTTATAAGCAAACTAAAATGTTACATATGATGTTTTTCCTCGACATTTATTGGTTATAAAAAAATTTTACTGTGATGACAAAATATATATTTCTGTAAAATATATCTCATTAATTGTAAAAAATGAAACACATAATTTATTTGCTATGAACAAAATTTTATTTCGTTTTATATTTAAATAAGAATTTATTGATCAGTGAAATAAAATATTTTGCAAATAAAGTTTCTAAGTATTTTTCTCAGTGTATCTATTAAAAGTTTGAAATCGTTTGTTTAAACTTCTAAATTCAAAAGTCTGATTTTCAATGACCAATTTAAACACATCGTATTTACGACATTCGTAATAAATATTCAGCAAGATACGCAATCGCAGAAATTACTGAACGTCGTTGCATGATGCGTTATATGGTTTTTCCTTAACAACCGTCTGCAAGCGGCCCGGAAAAGTTTCTTTTTGTTTCACCCTTTCACGGGACCACTGCGACACGAAGGTAGGAGGACGCGAAGGGACGAGAGGTCGGACCGAGTTAGGGAAAGGTAATGCTCGACGGTGACAAGGCTGCAACCGACACGGCAGTCTCGCAGTTTCGAAACAGCTCTCCAATTTTAATGAGACCCGTCTATTTCCCCGCGATTCTGTCTCCGTGTTACGGTTTATCTTTGTGTAATTATATTTTGATTCCCCCAGCTGCGCGCCGCGTCTCTTTTCGGTTCGTCTCATTCTCTCTTCGCCTCACGCAGCCGCGGATTTTCAGTTTGCCTCTTCGTTATTGTTATCAATTTATGCGTCTTTCCGTCCGTTTGCACCATCCAGAATATATGCGAGCGGTTAGTAAGCAAGCATTGCGTTCATTTCGTAACGGTACCAGAGGCTATTGTTCTCACTCTATCTGGAGACATAGTGACCTACCCTCGGTCTAGTTACCCTCCATTTCGTTCTCTTCGTGGCACGTTCGTCCTCGGATTGAATTTCGACTAGGGGTAAATAAGAAAAAGGAAATACTACTCCACCTTCGTCGACGAGAATCTGTTTTGTATCTTTATTCCGATGGCCGCTCCATTGGTCGCTACTTCGGCATCCGTACTTAATTATTAGGTAGTTACGATACTTCGGTGACCTTCTGTCGTCGATATTCGAGAGGCGTCCCCATCGTTTCTGTTCTCTCTTGTCCTGCTGCCAGCGTTGCTGTACTACGTACTAATGAGTGCGCTGAATTGTAACTTCGAAGGCGAGTAAGGAAATAATTTAGTTGTTTTGCTACAATCATGAATATTCGCGCAATTCATATTATGATTTATTAATCGAGTTACATATTTCGTCGTGGAAGATTACGACTAGCTTTTGTCCAGAATGAAGTAGCGCGGTTTTCTTACGATTTACTGTAACTTTTAAAGAATAAAGTGCTGGTTTTTCAATAATGAGGGTTTTGGAGTTATTGTCAATTCAATGAGGATCTAACAAAATGGGTGCATTTTCTTTCAATTGCGAGCACTCCCTCGTTCACGAGGGAGGATTTAAAGAGGCATCCTCTGTGTTCGACAGAGAGAGAGAGAGAGAGAGAGAGAGAGAGAGAGAGAGAGAGGGATTTGCCGGTATATACAGTATATCGATTCGAGTGATAACTACGAGTTTAACTCTCGCGAATGGTTTGCTCGTTTCAGCGTATTTAACAGCAGAGCGTACCAGAGGGCTCAGCTGCCGGGGTGGTTGGCACATGGGGACCATGGCACACGCCATTACAATGGCAACCAGCCCCACTACCGACCTTTCCGCAATCTCCCTTCTCTTTTCCTCTTTTTGTCTCTCTCTCTCTCTCTCTCTTTCTCT